GTTAATTATAACAAATAATATTTAGTTTACAGCAAATACCATTTATTTATTTAAACATCTTGCAGACAGGGCAGAGCTTGGGGCGATATACGTAACAAAGTTAATCCAGTTATGATGAAGGTACAGAATATCCGACAGTACTTGCCTGCAATTGATAATATTGCACAAGACTTTTTAGACAGGTAAGTTGGCAAGTAAATTTATAAGTTTTTAGTTTAGTTTTAGTGGTCTAATTTAAACTGACTTATAAAGTAATTAAAAAAAAGGTTATTAAAATATCACACTTCCTTGCCAAACTTTTAAAATATCTACACTCTTAAACAGATTAAACTCAAAATTGAACCACAACACCGGCAAACTGACCACCGACTTTACCGAAGAAATTAAAATGTGGGCTTTTGAGTCGGTAGCAGTCGTCGCGCTCAACACGCGCTTGGGTCTTTTAGCGCGCGACAAGCCAGATGCTAATGTCTTGAAAATTGTTGATGGCATGAATGCATTTTTCGATAAGGCCAACACATACGACGTATCACCGTCATTTTGGAAGTATGTTGAAACACCCGGCTTTAAAGAGCTTATGAAAGCTTATGATGATGTTACCGAGGTCACTACTTTTTATATTGAAAAGGCGATGGAGAAGTTCAAAAATGAGCAAAATGACGAAGCGCAAAGCGTGCTGGAGAAACTTTATCGCATAAATAAGAATGTGGCTGTGGTGATGGCTATGGACATGCTAATGGCCGGATTGGATACGGTATGTATAATAAGCGCTGCACTAATAGATCATTACAAAATATTGTTTTTTTTTTTTTTGTTTACTCAACATCGCCCATATCCACCTATAGACCTCTGCCACAGTTATATCGGTACTACACTTTCTTGGTCAAAACCCGGAGAAGCAGGAGGAGCTGCGCAAAGAGCTGCTTAAGCTGCTGCCTGATCCAAAGATGCCATTAACTGAGGAAAACACCAAAAATATGCCATATTTGCGCGCTTGTATCAAAGAATCGCTACGCCTAAAGCCTATCGCCAACGGTAATTTCCGCCTGGCCGGTCGCGATATTGTGCTCTCTGGTTATAAGGTGCCCAAAGGCGTCGGCATTTATATGGCGACCATGTCACTTTCCAATAGTGATGAGTACTTTGAAAGAAGTGCAGAATTCTTGCCAGAACGTTGGATTAAGGCAGCCAAAGCCACCTGTCCAGTCTCACAGAAACACAACCCGTTCGTTTATTTGCCATTTGGCTTTGGTCCACGCACGTGCATTGGCAAGCGGCTTGCCGAGCTAGAGATGGAAACACTTTTAGTGAGGTTCATTCGCAATTATCGTGTCACTTGGGTGGGTGAGAAACCGCTAGAATATGTAAATGATTTGATTTTGCGCCCAACTGGAGAAATGAAGTTCAAGTTTGAAAAGTTGTGAGCTTAATTTTGGAAAGAGTATATATATATTTAAATTTACATATGTGATATGTGTTATAATTGTTGAAACTAAAAATAATATCTTATTTTATGGGAATATATTATTTGCTTTTAAAATATGTATAAAATAACTGTAAATAGTATTGATATGTTTTCACAGGTTATATTCTTAGTTATGATTGAGTGTCTCCAAATAGCAAACATTAAATATATATATTTTTTTATTTTTCGGCTAAGGCTCTCTAAAGACGTAGTAGCTCGAGAGCCAAATCACCATGCCAATGACAATTTTCCTTATATTTTAATTAAGCCTCGGCTGGGATATCCTTCAAAGAATTTTGTTGTTTTCGGTTCCTGTGCATTTTTGGAGCGGTATTCGCTAGATTGTTGGACATTTTCCACATTACTTTCATCATTAGGTACGTTACTAAGCGCCCGCTCTGCGACCTCTACTCGAGCTCGTTTCTGAAAAAGAATCAGGACGTTTAGTGCCAGTCCAGTATTGTCATATTTCATACACAAAACCATTAACAAAATGCCTTTTGTCGAGTCAGAAGAGATGTAAGGATTCTCTGCTACCTCTCTAAAGGTAACATCGCGATTTCCAAGCATTTTTACTTTAACTTTTTCCAGGTAATCTTTGTTAAAAGAGGTGGATAGAGTTTTCAATGATTCTACGACCGTACAGGCTCTATGCCACTCAAATACTTCTATTCGTGATAGAGCAGACTTTTCAAAGTTCATTAACGATTCTGTTTCCCCGATTTCATTGGAAACACAAAATCTATAGCAAATGCACTGTGCAATTTATTTTCATGATAAAAGCCAACCGACAAAGCGGGGCTTTGCGGAAGTTGCCCAGCGCTGGCTCATCATCGGTACATATGCTTTCGCAAAAGCGTTTTGACCAAACCGAGTAAAATTTGTTTAAATAAAATATCGTTATTTTTGTGTAATACAATAACTTCATAGCGTGTTCACCCTCGCAATATCTACTCTCTTTTTCCTATATGCATATATTCTGGTGATCAGAAATTAGGTTGAGAGAACAGTGAGTCAATTAAGATAGAAGAATACATAATGCTCTAATGAACGAAGATGGTAAACTTTGCAAAGAAGTTTAGATTTACTGTCAGCAGTAAGGCGGAGTGGCGGGAGGCAAAGCTCGGGCTACTACTGAGGGACAGCACTATCCGGTGGTACGCTGACGTCTCGTAAACGCCGGAAGGCATTGGAGCAGGAATTGCGGGACCGCATACCAAACTACCCTGCAAATGGATTGTTTTCTGAGCATCTTTAAAGCAAGTCTATAAGTCTATAAGTCAGTCAGTCAGTATTCCATCTCCATCGCTATAATCAACGATAGTTCAGCGGCTCTAAAAATAATCTCTTATGAGGTTAAATCGCTATTATTGGAGGAGTGTATAGGAAAACTGAAACACCTGACAGTTGGCAACGGTGTATACCGCTCTACGGTGGCTTCCAGGATTATGGGCCAGAACCATGCATTGCGGTGGGACCTCACACCATAAAGGAGTTGCTCGTCGCGCGGAAGAGGATGGGGAGAGAACGACACTGGCAGCAGGCATCAGGAATGTGCTCCCAAGATACTACTGGAAGGTAACCAACTACCAAAACAGTGTGAAAAAGGATCAAATCGAAAGATAACCGCTTCTTTCACTTTCCAGTACACAAATGATGAAGTAGTTATTAGAGCGGAATAAAATTTTGCACTAATAATTCTTGAAATTTATCCAAAATCGCTTATGTCCATAGGTACCGAATATGTGGACTCCAGTATCTGTATCGTTCAATGTGTGAAATATGCAATTGATGCTACTTTCCTTACAATGGGAATTCTGTGTATCGAAAATAGGTTGTGTCGGATCAATACTTCCTAATATAAAGATTTTCGAACTTCCAGGTGATTTTGTACCATATGATTGGTTATTGTAGGAAGGGAACTTTCATGAAATCCAGGAAACATTTTTTGGCATATTAATAGGATGTAACATGAGAAAAAATAGATGAAATTGGGACCACATATAATTTCGTTTTTCTAATTAATCTTATGCCGAATATGTCGATCAATGTATGAATATATATATAAAATTTGTGGGATTCCGATCCGCTGGTTAACATTTTACATCTTAAAATATTTTCCTGGCATTGATTCCTCCAAGATGGGCATAGTCGCTTGCGCAAAGTGCCGGTAATTCTCAAGGCTTTAGGATATATCTACGCAGGCAGGGATCACATCACCTCAATCGCGCCCGGCAAGCCATTGTAACTATTCAGAGTGCTCGACTTGCGTAATATAGGAGAGGGCACCATAGGCCATAGGTGCAGTGCAAAACTTCAACTATTTTCTACTTATCCACTACTTTTTCAAATAAAAAACTACATTAAGGGTCCGAGGCAATTGTGGATGAGATTCAATGACTTTTTTGTCGGCCGGTATTTAATTATTTTTCGTGCATTTTATGAAACCTACCCACTATATCATTGTCCGAAGAAATCTTATTATAGCCAACTACATATATTAATAACATAAAAATCGACTTGATTGAGTAGTTTTACTTTATTATCTCAACTCAGAACAGATTCTGATTCAGAGTCATCATATTAGGGAACTAAGTTGGAAAACTGACCGCCAACACTAAACGACACAAGAAAAACAACAACAAGAAATATTTTTTCGGGATCAGTAAAGAGGTCACGAAATTAATTTTTTAACACCAGTTAAGCAGAAATTCTATTTTAAAAAAATTTTGTCATAAAAAAACAGTTTTTTTTTTTTAAAAGGCAACTTTGCCATAAAGAGTTATTAATGAGGGTAAGGTTTCACTTCGTATTATAAATGACAAATTTTTTGTAACATTTACTTGACGAAGCAGAACTCATTGCTATAAACAGCAATTCTCGAAAGGCCTATAAATTTTATTGCGATGGGAATTTATTCGAAACCACATTCCCAAAGCACTTCACGCACTTGCCGCAGTCGTAGTTCATTTCAAGGGAATTGAAAATAAAAAAGGGTAGATGGCCAACCCTGAAAATACAAATATTACGAACTAAAGTGAATATAATTTAATTTTTTGCCAAAAGAGATGATCAATCAATTTCATACTAATGAAAAATGAAAACAACACAAATCACCCGCACAAACCAACAACATCTACGACTCAGCAAGTTACTTCCGCAGCAAACACATCATATTTGCTAAACTAACGGTTTATGTTTTCTGACAGCTCTGCTACTTGCTCATTCAATTTTCACGCACTTATCCGCTCTTCAACGAATTTTATTCTCACACGTGCAGCACATAAAACAAAACAGTCGAGAATCAACACAAAAGTGATAAATGACTAGCAGAGGTGTCACTCACGTTGTCTGAACTCTGACTACGCTAGCGTGTTGCAGCAATGAGTTTCCGCCACACTGAGCTCACTACTCACATAGCATAATTAAATCGTTTAAATATTACACGTTTTGACCTTTTGATTTGCTTTTATTGCGTCCTCGCTGCGTGCGCTCAAAGACAAATTAAATATGGTTTTAATTGCAGTTCACTCACCATTTCCTTATCCTCTTGACTACGCGGCCAAAGTGTTAGATTTACGAGTATTTCACCCATTTGACGCTCTGGATGATTTAAGTCATGCAATGGCAGGCAGAGGTCTTCCGCTTTGCCCAACTCCAATGTCGTCAAATCGATTTGTGCGGAACCCATGAAATCATCCTGCAGTCCCCAGTCATAATCGAATACCTAAGGGGAAATTCTTAATTGAGTAAGCTATGTGCATTGGTGTGTATAATTCACATTTTTAATAATTTCTTGTGCTCTAATTTGCATAAATAATGCTGGAGAGTTTGAGCGTTGCGAGACTTAGATGACTTATTTAGTAGGAGTAAAAGAATGAAGGACAAAATAGAAGTGAAGAGTACCTGTGGTATTTAATTAAAACAACAAATTTCACACAAACCAAAAATGTAATATATTGTAGAATATTTGAAAATTCGAAAATTCGAAAATACGTTAAAGCGACAAAAACCCCAAAAGTTAAAAATTTATTTTGATAAGCCTAAAATGCAGATGATCAAGATATCGATACTCTACTAAATGAAAGACGTGATAAACCGAATTAAAGACATGGAAAGGAGTCTATAATTTGTGATGCCTACTTAAAACTAGACGTTTCCCCTATTAAAAAGCTTTTTGAAACGTTTGAGGTATCAAATCGAGGAAACCCGTTCCCATTTGTGTAAGAATATAATAATGTTTTATAAAAGTAATGCGACTTCCACGATTTTCAATTTTACTGCAATGGGCGAGGAGCTCTCTAGATTATTTAGGATTTACCTAAGTCCAACATGAGCTTTTTGGTGCATAATTAATTGTATGAGCTCCAAACATCCTACAGTGGCTCTCTTATCCGAACCCATTCTGCAACTAGTAAGACAGAAGTACTTAAACTAGCAAGCTCATAAGCTTTATTGATGTTGTTGTTATCGTAGCAGGAGAATTCGGCCCAGTTGACAGTATTTGCCCAAATAAAAATTCGTGGGAACGATTCATCCGCTTTTTAGATACGTGCGGTTCCGTTAGGGCTTATGAAAGAACACGATTCCAGAGAAAAGGAGTCGAAAACTGTAGTCTCGAGTGTACGGTCTGCCGTGGAGGTGATATTTCCTGAGAGTTTACAACATTAAATCCAGCATATTCCAAAATATTGTCCAATTTAAACTCTTACAACTGATATTCAAAGTCAATGCGCCAGTTGAATTTTTTTGTTCTATGAAATTTAGTCATTTCTTCTTTCTTCGTGTAGCCATGAATATACAAAGACGTGTACAAACAAGTTTCTTCGAAAAAAGCAGAAATATTTGCCAAAAATTGTTATTAAATTTTGGCTGAAGTATTAGCACCACATTGGCACATCCGTTTCTCGTGCTGTTTATTGTTTAATTTCCAGTAGTAGCAGCGCAGTGGGACTGTGCTCTAAGTCCCAAATGATTTTCAATAAAAATATTTAAATTTAAGTAGTTTTGGCTTACACATTACAATAGATGCATATGTAAGCATTTCCATATTTGTAAATGCATATATATATATATACTTTTCTTGTATATATCTACATATATAATATAAGGAATGTGTGTGCAAAAACGTCCATTTCCACATGTGGCATACAAGTTATAAAAATCAAGTGTGAAACTGACACACATGACTTTTGGTTCCAAAGTTTTTCACATCAAAAATTTATTTTGGTACTTCATACATATGCGTGCAGGCGTTCGTGGCACATCATTGAATAAACATAAAAAAGTTTTTACCTGTGGTTGTCGTTCGACGAACTTACATGCATCACTAATTTATGAAAAATAGAATGCGAAGTTAAACCCTTTGCAGTCACACTTACTCATGTACTTCCGGGGGTTAAGCTACATACCGTCATATTTTTTACAAAGTATTTGTCATGTTTTTCGAAAGCATTTACGTTAAACTCTATGAGAATTTGTAAAGATATTAATCATTTTTGGCAAAATAAAATATTGTGTCCATTTTCGATGACAATTTAACATGTAATCTTAGTAGCTTGCCGTGTGATGGACAGATAGCTTGGTTAGACTGATTGAAATCTCCAAATTTTTATAGGAGCCTCTCTTTCTTTATATATATTTTCTAGCAGCCCACCCCGGCTTCACACGGGTATTAAACAATCATTTTAAAAGTTATAATTTTGCACAAACTCTCCCATACATACTTTCTCGTTTTTGCGTGGGGTGATTTAAAATTAGTTAAATAAAGGGAATTCGAACATGCAAGCAAATTTTTTGTATAATTATTGTTATTTTTTAGTTTCGTGAAAAAGCCTTTACTTTCTCTGCTCCTGAAAAATAATTTGTTGAGTTAGAGTTTCCCTGTAAATGACGATGATGTTAATTTATTTTGTGGCAGCAATATAAATTGATTTTCAAGACCTCCGATCCACGATATACCAACATGCAGTTTGTATGTAGGTCAATCTCTACTAATTCGAAAGTTGGGCCATGGGAGTTGAAGTCATTTAAATGGGATTGGCAGATTACTTGGGATCATCGGTATCCTCGTTATGTGATCTAGTTGACTAGCTGCTGGCGCGATGATAATGATTGCTACAATTAAATTGTCCCTTAGCTCCTTAAAAAGCTTGTCCCGTTGCACATGCTTGGTGGGCTTAAATTCCTCAAAAGCATAATTGGAACTCTAATTTTTAAAGCCAATTCATGAGGTGATAGTCCAGAAGGGCTTAATCAAATTAAAAACTCCTGGGGATAATGGACTGCGTCTTCAATATTAGTCACGGTGTCCATCGATTTGTATTTTTTTTTATTTCTCGGGGAACTTCTTGAAAAATTATATCGCTTATTACATTGACTTCATCATCCCAGGGTGATACTATTGCCCTAGAACACATTCAATGAAATACCTTTTAGTGCAAATTCTCAATGTCAAGAATATTACAATTACTGCTCGAATTTGGAGTGGAAAAAATTCCTTCCCCAAGTTTAAACAGTTGCTATGGAAAATCACCATCAGTGTCTCCATGAAGATGAGCTCTCATATTCGTCCGTAATTTTCAATTGAGGTCCATAAGGGCGACGATATAAAACATGTTTTGATGATATCTGCTCGCGTATCTCTGTTAATGACAGCAAGGGCCTGTCGGAAATCTCCAGCGAATACAAAGATATCCCGCACATAAGAGCAAAGGAGTTTCTAAGGCTAAGACTAAGCAGGTTCTAAAACTCTATATGTGATTTATTGCCTATGGTGCATTCCTCCCACATATGTAATCAAAGAGACGTCCTGCATTAGTTAACCAAGAGACCTATTTTTGCGGATAGAACATATTTATTGTTGTTCGAGATTTATGTATGACGGAAGTTTAACAAATTAATGAACAGTTTTTCCATACGTGAGCAGATTTGTAGCAATTCCTGACGAATCAGCTGCTATCGCTATCTTCGCTGATTGTCTTAATTAAGAAAGTATTAAATTTGCAAAAAACGTCAAGTCAGTGCCCACGCGCATTGGAAAAAGTTATTGTTTTAGTTTTTATTCAGGCTATAACTTGCCTTTATCAGTGTGTTGCAGCCTATCTAATTTTAAATAACATTCGCAATCTAAATTTAACATTCTCTCTTATAAGTAAATAATAATAATTTTTTTTTTTTTTTGAATTTATTAAACATTCCCCATTAGATTACCTTCAAAGTGGTTCAAGCCATTTTTCATTTCATGCAACGCTTTAGTCAGCCATAGCGAACAGACAAAAACCAAACCTACTTTTATATATGAGATATGGGACTACCGGAAAGCATTAACGGATTAACCACATTTTATTGCCACATAATAGTCGTATTAGTTAAATTTCAAACTGACTTATGTATGAAAAAATGATGAAATGATTACAAAAATTTATAAAAAAATATGTTTTTAAAGATTTTATAGTTTAATATAATTTTGTTGCTTTTTTTTTATTTTTAACAACTTTGACACAGGAAAAAATATCAACAAAAAAAAAAGACAATAAATACATATATTACAATGAGTATGACTATGTGCTTTTTCTATGACAGAAAATCCCTTTATTTGCTTATTAAAAATTAATTTTATTACTTCCTCTTTCAACACATTCACACATGCCACACACAAAGCTAAAATATGAGTATACTCACCTTAATATTAATAGGCAGAAAGGGATCTTCGATGGGCACAATGAACACTTCATCCCACACCGGATTCAGGTCTCGATGAATTGTGCGTGATTTATGCAGCAGACGACCGCCAACCTTAAATTTTACATAAGGATCACTTAGGCCTGCGTAAACACACAAACAACGAAGACAAAGAGAAAAAGAAAGAAAGGAAGCATGTAAATAAGTGAAATTAGATTTGGGTTGCGGCGCAGCGTTGAAATAAAGCGCTTACACAAGTAATTTCATTAATAAATTGGTAAATTATCAAAAATATTGTTGGCGTCGCTTTAATGACACATAATCATACAATCAAACACACACATATACACACAAACAGAGCGTGCTACTTACCGTTTTTATCCATGGCCATCAAATCGCTGCCGCTCTTCAGATGCACGCGCAGCTGAAAGAAGACGTACTGTCGTAAATGCGCTTCCTTTTTGCGGCGCAACTCTTCCGCCTGGCAAATGAGAACGTTAGTATTTTACATATGAAATTAGTGAGAAGGACACAACGATGGCGAAAGTTACAAATGAAATTAGTTTAGCTAAAGTAGTGAAAACCAACCGGGAAGAAAGGGCATACAATTCTGAGTGTCGCATGAATGCAAAGCAGATTAAACGTGAGTTAATGTCAGCTGCATAGCGACGATAGAGCTTTGGGTGGAATAGAAGGAACGAAAGTTGGAAAGAAATAGTAGTAGTGGATGCTAATGCCTTAATGCGAGGAAGAGAGTATTTCATTTAAGTTGATATAATTGAATGTGAAAAGGGAAACTTGTTTAGATCGTTGCTATATTCAAATGAAATTAAAGTTTCCGCATTTTCGATAATTACTTTGTTCATTTAAAACAGAAACAATTTTCCTTAGTGCTCTTTTAGGAGGTGGAGTCTTCTCTCAAGAGCTTGTCATTAACTTTAGCTTCAGGCTAACAGAGCACAGTTGGGGGAGCATCTTAAACCCGATTTCATACGATTTAAGGCGAATCGTTATTCCGTTATTCTCTTGCAGCAGGATCTGTGGATCTCTTGTGAGTTCGGCAAGTGCTGGTCAACAACAAGGACTTATGCGACTGCTAAATCCTTCTGGCTTAGGGTAAATTGCTGGAGGTCCTTTGATCTAGTCGCTATTAGCAAAGAACCGCAATTGTAAGTGGTTGATTAGAGACTATCCAATAGGTTCACAAGAGGAGGTATACGAATTATCGTGCCATATTTTCCTTTATTGCCCGGGTTTTGCAAGACGGAGATTGAAATATCAAGACACACATTCGGCGCTTTGTTGATCTATTAAGATCTGAAGTTTTAGGAGAGACCAAAGAACCAACACTCACAGATATCCAAATGAGATCTATCGATTGGTTTCATCCCTACACCTAAACTAAACGAATCTTCTGCTGTCTGTAGACCAAATTTAGACTATTCTATTAAAATAGAAGTCGAAGTTCTACCTTGAAAGCTTCATGTAACCTAGCTGCTGAGAAAGAATTTAATTTCTTTTCCCGCCTTCGTAAAAGTATCGATTTTGAACTTATGGTATTCACAGCAAGTAGAAAACCTGTCATTAGTCTCCCATTTCAAAATATCTCTTTGCATCAGTATCGGAAGATTCGATTTGTGAACATATGTATATTCCCGTCATCTGAAAAATATCTGTGTCGAAGCTTGAGATTTCATAAGGTTTAAGTACCTGTTTCAATTTTGTTTTGTGATTCCAATTTTTGTTTTCCACTCACCTGCAGCACTTCGATTTGCTTCGACGACACATAATCCTCCATAGTCGCGCCACTGCTGCCAACAGCACTACCATTACCGCTACCATTTTCTGGATGCTCTTCGATGCGTCCCTCCATAGAGCCACCAAAACGATGTATCATTTGCGCCATTCTCACGGAAGCGCTGAATTCCTTCGCCAACGGTGAACCACCTATCGTTGTAGCACGGTGACGTGGACTTTGTGTAACCGAACTACTCTCGGAACTATAATCGGCTGCATAATCAGTGCTTTCTTCGAGAAAATCACTCGGTGACTTGCGCCCCGAACGATCCTTACTTTTCGCACGATTCCAACGATGCTTCAACGTATTGAAAAAGCCGTGCGTCTTTTGGAAGACACCACCGGTACCGCTGTGCCCCGAACCGCCGGCGACACCACCACTATGCGCTGTAGCGGCACTTTTGGCACGTTTCGGCGATGTACGTGGCGAATCACGCTCACTATGGCAGTCGTGTCCGTTCAATTCCGATGCGGATTTACTTAAATGGCGGCCCAGTCGTTGCGTGAGCTGCGGCGAGCCATGTGGTGTAGCCCCCTGTGATGCCTGACCACCGTTATTGTTGTAGTGCTGCGTATATTGGCCGCCACCACTACCGCTCGGCAAGTCTTCGCTGTAATGGATGCGCGCTGACAATACGAATAGCAAAAGAAGAAGAATTGTAAGAAAGTTATCGTAAAATGTAAATGTACACAAGTTGAAAGGATTTATTTTTGCTTGAATAGCAACCTTCCGCGTTGTTGCGGTATAACCAACTTATATTTGTATTGTCAGTATTGGTAATAAATTCGTAAGGGATTTTGTGGTAACCCGGCAATCAATGAACGAAATCTCAGTACGGGAGAAATGTAGCGCCTAAAGAGCGGCTGGTAAGCTGATAAAGCGTTGACATAAATTTTACACTAATCGACATATTTGACATAAGGTTTGTTTAAAAAAAAATCGAAAATCATTATTGTGAAATATGGAAGTTTTGGGCGATTTTATTTATTAGCATCATGTCAAATACTAAAAAAAAATTTCCTGCATTTTATTAAGATATCTCACATGCAATCAGCAATCGCATGGAGTAAATCCAGCCGGATGTTCGAAAATCATTTTATTAGAGAGAGTACACGAAGACCGTGGAGAGTCGATTTGGCGTCGTTTGCAATTTACATCGAGATCTTGAAAGCGTACAAAATACAGCTTGTGCAAGAACTAAAGCCGCTCGACCTTCCAAGCCATATTGTTACGATCTATGGGCTCTTGAAAAGTTCCTCAATGGGTATGTAAACCAATAAAGTTGACGCATTTGGGAGGAAGAACATCAGGAACAGATTTAAGAGCTGAATTAAACAAAAACAAAAAAAAAACGGTTTGGTGCGGTTTGTGGGGCATTGGAAACATCGGTCCACATTGGAAAATGACGGTGTGAACTTAACCGTCAATGGCGACCGTTATAGCTCTATAATAATCAAGTGCTTGATACCTGATTTTAAGCTCGTGATCTCGTCAACATTTGGTTTCAACAAGATAGAGCCACATCCCTCACCTCATCAATTAAAGGATTCACTTCGGTGAGCAGATAATTTCACGTTTTGGGCCGGTCGACTGAGCACCAATATAATGTGATATCACAATGTTAGACTTTTTCCTTTGGGGATATATAAAGATATTTAAAGGGATAATCTTCAAAAAATAAAGCCAAAGAATGCTCTTTCGAATCCTCCCATTAAACTTGAAGTTTCTGCGTTTTTATTTAAAAGGAAGGGCAATTTGATATATATCAGCTTTTTTATAGTCTGTAGCAACAAGTTGAAAGCGTATAAATATGCATTTAGAGCTAAGACTTAACATATGTACTTATATATATATGAAAAACATATTTTAATATTTTCAGCATATTTTTACACTTATGTAAAAGTACTGTTGTTAGATTACATACGAAACTGAGTTTACGCAATTACAATTCGCTATGGTGTGTTTTCGGAGCGTTATAACTTGTAACTTTATGAAACTATGTGAAACCCGTAAATATGTTTGCGGTTAACGCTTTTAATAATAATAATAATAATAACGAGGTAATCGTTTTTTCTTGCGATGGTTCTTTCGCCCACGTTGATATGTCACTATAGCTTCTGGGTTAATCCGAATTTCCGATTTCAAAAAATGTGGTTTCTTATATCTTAGCTTCTCACAATTGTTAAGAGACTTTGCTCGATTCAGAGCATGTATGTATGTATATTAAGTGTTCCACGAAGTTTGTAACAATCAGAAAATGTTCAGAATCCTATAAAATACGTACGTACATATTTTTTAAGATAATTTACTTGTGATTATATACTTGAAACGAGATTATATACTTAAACTACTCCTATTGTGCTAAATTAAAATGCCACGTCTAACACAATTCCCTACACACAGAGATATCTTGCACACTTGTTAAGGTTGCCGCACCACCTTCACTGTGCTATTTACTATATAAGCCTATCCAACAAAAGCAAAGCAACAATCTTCCACTTGGGAATACTTTTATGCCTTTTCAATTGAGTGTTTTTGATATTCGAGTGCACTTAGCCAACCACGTATATGCCTGCGCCGACGCTAAACATTTATTATTGTAAGAATAATTTTTTATATATGTACAATATACTATATATCAATAATATATGCCATTGTATCTATAACATACACCATTTTCTTACAAAGGTATACATGTGTACATGCACATTCTATTCATTGCCCATGAAAAGCGCAAAACAATCGCTGGGCCCCTTGATGTTTTTAAAAATTCATCTGCAAGAATTTCATTCTTTTTGGCTATGCAACATTGCAGATTAGCTTTGGGTGTTTGTGCGAGTCTTTCAAGAAAACAAAGCTGTGTGCTCTTGAGGTAATATTGACGTGTTCTCAATACTTTTATGTTCTCTATATATTATTATCTTTGGATGCCTGCTTTTAGGCTAAAAACTAAAACTTTAGCGGTGTATACTTATGTAAATACAAATGAGTCTTTGAAAGAATGGTGTAAATATTAGCAAAAGGTTTGTATTATAACATATTTTTTAACTTTAAAGATAACTATTTTAAATAAGTATACAAAATAATTTTCTTACTCCTAATATATATTATGTTTAATGTGTGTGTTTGTGTGTCATCAAGCTCGGTGAAAATCGATATATGGTACAATTTCGTAGTTAATTTTACTTTATTTAGATACTGCACTGTTAGAAAATCTGAGCTCAGGTGTTCGTTCTTTATTTTGGCTTTTCGCCAAATTATATTTTCGTGACACTTCAGCACTTTTGCTTTATTGTAGCTTGAGCATAATGAGCACAGAGTGCATTTTCATGATTTATTATTCAAAATACTCAAGCCTTTATCTCTGGCACGTTTTTCTATAATACAAATTTCGACATAAACTCTTTAAAGACTTTTTATTTATTGTTAGTTGGAGATATTTAGGCAAAAAATTAAGCTTAAAGCTAGAAACTGCTTCAATGATAAGTATAATAATACTAAAGGAAAGTTCAGAAGCTCTTTCCTAAAAATAATAGATATTAATATTATTATGGTGATACTAAATAAAATAAAAATTAGGAAACTTTTTAATTTATAATACTTACTCATACATTTTTCGAAAACCTATTAGTCGAAATATTTTTTTCTAGGTTGGCATACTTTTCGGTGATATCTGCACCAAATTTAATATTCAAATAATCATTAGTGTTTAGTGTACGCTTGCCTTGCTGATGTACATAAACTGCAAATAGCTATTTTTACGCTGAGTGAAATTATTCCACAAAGAAGTTCCATTAAATGTTGTGTGCGGAGTCCAATTTCTGGTGCCGAAACGTTCAGAATGTTCTAAAATGGCAGCGCGTTCAATTTGCGCATCAACTGGTTATACACATGTCAATAAAATAAAGGAATTGGTGCTTAAAAATTGACGACTAATAGGCAGACACCTAACTGGCATCGTTGGAATATCGGAAGGATCAGTGAAAACCATTTTGAAAGATCAGAAAGAGCAGAAAAGTTAATACACGACTGGTTAAAGAAAACTGAAATTTTTTTCGGAACTGAGCCACGTCTGTGAAACATAGTTTTCCGACTCGAGGATGTTATGAAACGTATTACTACTGGCAATGAGTCTTGCATGTATACTAACGAAATGGAAATAGACCATTAGTCGGACGAATAGGCTGGCAAAGGTGAGTCGAGTCCGAAAAAACCACGTCAAAAATGAAGACTGTGTTAATAGCTTTCTTCGATTATCAAGGTGTGGTGAGAACCGGCCAAACTGTCAACAAGGAATGTTATTTGAGTGTTAACCGTTGTTTGCAATTGGTAAAAAGAGGTCGGAATAATGAGCCGACAGCACTCGGTTTTTGCACCACGATAATGCACCGTGCATTGATTATACGTGACTTTTTCGTCACATTTTCAACCAATAACGTGCCACATTTGCCTAATATAGCTTAGATTGACTTCTGGCGTTGAAGGCTATCCTGGAAATTGACTTGAACAACTGTTGGAAAAAATATTGACACAAGTGTATTGGAGTCAAAGTGGATTACTTTGAGGGGGACCGCATCAATTTTGAAGAATAAGTTATGAATTTTAAAATTATAAAAAAAATGCTTACTATTTTTTGCTCATAGTAGTGAAACCATGACTTCATCTCAAATTACGAAATTTCAATTTTAGCAGTCAGCTTGAACACAATCTATAAAAAAATGTGTTGTTTTGATAAGCCTTTTTATTAATAAACGAAAATTAGAAATCGTCAGATTTTATCCGAAAAATGTGTGTGGCAAAGAGGAAGATTTTCCTGCATAAAATAATCTCAAACAAAAAATTTTTTATTACAATATGTACATAGGTGAGTATAGATCTAGCGTTATCTATATCTTTTAATTTTTGGCAAGTCACCATTTTGACCAAAAATAAGCAATTTTTAAGAAAACTTTTTACATAAAACTGGTTTATTCTTATAGCTTTATTCCTTCAATTACCTAATAATTTTATTTAACAAATTGGTGTGAAAGTGCCAAGCCAATCGACCCACTATTTTTCTAGAATATTTTCCCAACGACTTCGAAAACTGCGTTTCGAGAAAAACCGGTCTAAAGTTTTGACTAGCGATTACATTATATTAGAAAATTCACTAAATTTTGCTTATACATATCTCCAAGTCTATTCGTCGAATCAATTTCGAAGTATCGGAGATGTGACAAATATATCATTTCCTTTATATGCCATCGATTATTCGTTATGAATTTTTGAGTTTTTGATATTTCCACGTACATGTATATATATAGCACTTAGTCGAATAAATTTAATTAAGGTAATGCACTTCGCTCCTAAATAAAATTAATCTAAGTTTAGTTATGCCCTAAACAAACCAATATCTATGAATAAAAACTACTACAAAAAATTGTGAATTGGTCATAGAGCTCCAGACATCAATATTTCTATTTCACTTTCAGTTCCATTTCAGTTATTGGAGCAGCCATCATTAGCCATCAGAAGAAGTATAAAAGTAAACAAATATTATGACAGCAAGGTACGCAAATAATATTGCAGACAAATAAAATTGGCATATTTATTAGCTCGAATAATGTCAAAAGAGCAAGGTTGACAA